GCGGATGGAGCCGCGGCCCCGCCATGGGCACAGCTGCGGGCTGGACGCCGCTTCGCGCCGCCGGGGAGCGGAGGAGAGAGAGCGGAGCGGAGCGCGGCGAGGGAGGCAGGTGGGGCGGCACGGGGCGGGTGGGGGGAAGAGCGCGGCGCGGGCGGAGCGGCCATCCGCCGCCGGGTGCCCCGCGCCGCTCCCACCCCGCGCTGCGCTCCGCGGAGGACGGCCGGCCGCGGCGCGGTGTGTCGGGCTGCGCGGCTCCGCTCACCTTCCCGCCCGGCGCGCCGTGCTCCCCTGCTTCGTTCTCCTTTTCCAGATGCGTTGCTGTTCCCGTAGAGCCTTCGCCGCTTCGCCCCAGGCCGTCGTGAGCGCGCCGGGAGGATCATGACCGAAGCCCTCATCTCTGCTGCTCTGAACGGGACGCAGCCCGAGCTGCTGGCCGGCGGCTGGGCCGCGGGGAACGCCACCACCAAGTGCTCCCTGACCAAAACGGGCTTCCAGTTCTACTACCTGCCCACCGTCTACATCCTCGTCTTCATCACCGGGTTCTTGGGCAACAGCGTGGCCATTTGGATGTTCGTCTTCCACATGCGGCCGTGGAGTGGCATCTCGGTGTACATGTTCAACCTGGCGCTGGCTGACTTCCTGTATGTCCTCACGCTGCCCGCCCTCATCTTTTACTACTTCAACAAAACCGACTGGATCTTCGGGGATGTCATGTGCAAACTGCAGAGGTTCATTTTCCACGTGAACCTCTACGGCAGCATTCTGTTCCTCACGTGCATAAGCGTGCACAGGTACACGGGCGTCGTGCACCCGCTGAAGTCTCTGGGGAGGCTGAAGAAGAAGAACGCTGTGTATGTCAGCTCACTGGTGTGGGCCCTGGTGGTGGCCGTCATCGCGCCCATCCTCTTCTATTCAGGGACGGGGGTGAGGAGGAACAAAACCATCACGTGCTACGACACCACGGCCGACGAGTACCTGCGGAGCTACTTCGTGTACAGCATGTGCACCACGGTGTTCATGTTCTGCATCCCCTTCATCGTCATTCTTGGCTGCTACGGGCTGATCGTGAAAGCTCTGATCTACAAGGACCTGGACAACTCTCCTCTGCGGAGGAAGTCCATCTACCTGGTCATCATCGTGCTGACGGTCTTCGCTGTCTCCTACCTCCCCTTCCACGTGATGAAGACCCTGAACCTGAGGGCCAGGCTGGATTTCCAGACGCCGCAGATGTGTGCCTTCAACGACAAGGTGTACGCCACCTACCAGGTGACACGGGGGCTGGCCAGCCTCAACAGCTGCGTCGACCCCATCCTCTACTTCCTGGCCGGGGACACCTTCCGCCGGCGGCTCTCCAGGGCCACCCGCAAGTCGTCCCGGAGGAGCGAGCCCAACGTGCAGTCCAAGAGCGAGGAGATGACGCTCAATATTTTGACAGAGTACAAGCAGAACGGGGACACCAGTTTGTGAACGGATGTGAAAGGTGTGGGGACTCCTTTTTGCAGTAACGCTGCATCCTGACACCTCCGGACAGCCCTGCGCACGCGTGTGTCGGGATGGTCTGCCATCCCCATTCATTTTAGATAAAGGCTCTTTTTCTAAGATTAGAAAAAGCTTAACACAGTAAGTGGAAGAATTTTAATCTTAGTGGAGAATAACATGTCAGAATTCAGCTCTCCTGCTCCTTGCAGAGTTCTCATTTCTTTCTGACTTGTGTCAGATGAAGTAAAATGAAGCAAATCCCCTGAAGGAAGAGAGCAATCAAAGTGCTTCTGTTTTAATGGCTCAGACTCCCACACTCCAAAAGGATCTTCGCCCGCCTCCCTTGCAAACAGGAAATGCAGACGAGGAGCTCAGCACGGCCCCCGGAGCTGCCCCTTTGGTAGCTGCCCACGGCCCCGGCGCGACTGCCGGCTCTGCGCGCCGAGCGCTGCCGCTCCTTCCCGGCCTCGGCGACCGCCCGGCGCTTTGGCAGCACCGGCGCCGGACGCGGGCGCCGCAGAGCCGTGCCCACCGCCGCGCACGTCGGACGATCCGGGGGCACGGGCTCGGCGGAGGGGCAGCGGGCACGGGTCGCTCTGCAGGCGGGGCGGCAGCGCCCGGCACACGCAGTGCTGTGCGGCCGTCGGTGCCGGGCCGGGCCGCGCTGCCGGGCTCTTCGTGCGGTTCGTACGGGGCAGCGCCAGGAGCGCGTGCTGGAAACAGCTCCCAGACGAGCGGGGCTGCGGTGCTTGAGCTGCCTGCGTCCCGCTGGGTGCGGGAACACCGCTGTGCTGCAGCCCTTCGGCAGCGCCTGTCTCTTCCCAAGAAAACAGTCGTCAAAATGAAAACGTATACACGGACTGTGTTCTACATTGAAGTAGTTGAGAGGGAACTGATTTCTCAGTTTTGTGACACATCACTGCGTTAAGAGGACGTTGCGATATTCCGCAGACTAAACCCACTGCTCGGTGTATCTTCTCCCAACATGGAATAGGTCATCTAAAATTAGCCAGGTGTTGTGTAACGCGAGAGCAGTCGGAGCGCGGCTGAGCTCCTCCATGGGCGGTCTGAGTGCTTTCTCATATTTTTAAGAAACGTGTTTGAAAATATTGTGCTCAAACAGTATGAAAGCATGCTTTACGTTATAGATTCGGTGTGCAGAATCGGGTTCTGTGTGATGCTGGGGGTGACTTCAGCAGATCCTCGTTCCTCCGGTCTTCACGGTGAGTGAGACGGCTCTACGTTGCTCACGGACTCGAGCGGTCAGTAAGGAGCAGGAGCAGCCCTGCTCACAGCCGTGCTCAGCAGCTTCTGCTCGGACACACAGCTCAGCCTGCAGAATCCCTATTTATTGAACTTATTTATTAGAAGACTAAATGTCGAGTTTGTAAAGTGTGGTTCTGTGTTCATATCAGAATTGGGCATTAGTGGGAAATTTGGCAGCATGTTTAAGTCACTGTAATACCGTGTCTTCTGACAGAACGTCTTTATAATAAACTCAATTCCACCCTGATTTTCACTCTTCTATGTAACCCGGAGATAAATTAAGCTCATGGATTGCCCCTTGATAAATTAAACACTGCTCAGGAAGCACAGCTTCTTGAAGCAACATTACGATCTCATTTAGCACCGTAAGGTGAAGAACGCAGAGGGGAAAAGAACCCCAACCAGGGGTCAATTGCTAATTAATCCCTGCTGACAAACAGTGCCGAACAGCGCAGCCTGTTCACACCAACAGGGAAGGGCTGCGGTTCACAAGGAGCAGAGCTGCAGCGTGGGGCTGGGATGACGCTCCGAACCGCTGCTCTGGGTGGGAACCGGGTCTGCAGCTCTGAGTTCCCGGGGCTGTTTCTCTCTTTTCTGTCAGTTGGAAACACAGCGTTCTGCTAAGTCACACCTGTGAGTGGATCCTGAGTGGACGGGCAGGGCAGCACACGGAGCCTCGTGCCGGCACTCTGCTGAGCCGGGACCGCCGCTCCCGATGGCAGTGAGGGCACACCCGGCCCCTGCAGGACCTCGGGCGTTTCACACGGCTCGTTTTCCTCCTTTTTGCTCCCATAGCCCACAGCACAACGCTCTCAGCGCACGTCCTGCCCCGCTGCGTCCCCCGTGGGCACAGCCCCCGCCGTCACCTGCAGGGCAACGACCCAGGGCGGACAGGTCATGGAGCCGGTAATTAGCAAGCGCTGATGGCAGCGGGCAGTGCTGCCTTTACCCCTCATCTCACTGCAGTGCCAGCTGAGAGCCCATCTCCCCTCACTGCTCTGTGTCCACCTTCGGCTACAAACGGGGTTCCATGCACCAGGATTCCAGGTCACACCTCTGTGTGGGAACTGCTGAGTCCTGGCCTGAGCCACTGATGGAGAACCCGGGGAAAGGACCCATGAGCCTTGGGAGCTCAGGTGAAGGCAGTTCAGTGGTGTGAGTGGAAGGGGTGAAGCCTGGCTGCACGGCTCTTAGACCCCATTTAAGGCCTGATTGCCACTGGGGAAGGAGCTCTGGTTGGAGATTCCTGTCCTATGGAGCTTTCCCTGCAAGCCTGTCTTCAGAGATGGGTGAGCACTTTCCTTTTTTCATTGCAGCAGCTTTCTATCACGCTTGTCCTTTAGTCGTTATCCCTCCCATATCACCATTTCATTGCGTTGGTCCTTCTGATTTTTACATGCCTCTAACATTTTTTCCTCTATCTGGGAATCTTTTAATGAATGCAGAAGATGCCAATACCAGCCTGAGGTAAGAATCTCTCTGTGAGCCTAGGACTGCCATTGCTGAGCATGCAGGGATCCATGCAGGAAGGTGTTGCTGTCAGGGGCTGCACTGTGCTGCTGCTCATGGGGCTGCTTTTCTTCTCATTTATGCCCATTAACTCCCACACATAGCAAACTTTAATACAAAATGAAGTCAGGATGAAACATACACAGGCTCTGCTGTCAGTTCAGGCACCTTCATAGAACAGCGCTGAGGATCAGCAGGTCCCTTCCAGCTGAACCATCCTGTTTTTTTCATACCCACTCTGTAGGACACAAAGGCTATGAGATGCTGGCCAAGGACTGTGAGCAGGCAGCACCGAGCACCTCAGGCCCCATCCCAGCCCACATGGCAGCAACAGTCTGAGCCCCATGCCATCAGAGTTCATGGTATTTGTGAAAGCGTTTGTTTTCTACTGCTCTGTGATTTAATGTTGATGAGCTCCATTTCTGAGGAGCTCCAGTGAGATCTGGCTTTGCAGCTCCCACAGAGACGCGTTACCTCTCAATACTCCAGCTTTGAAGCTTCTTGGCTTACTCACCTGCTTTCATTAAATAGTAGTGAAAAAAATCCCGATTTGCATAATTATAGTGACCAGAAACTGTTCTTTCAGCCCAGCCCAGCCATGCTCAGTGCCAGGTACAGCTTTGCAGCCGGGACTATTTTTAGTGGCCCAGCACTGCAGCACGTAGCTCTGCACCTAGCAACCTGCATGGGAAGGGCTCAGCAGCAGCCTCCTCCTGCCTTTGTGCTCCTGCCATTAGCTCACACTCCCGGGCAAATCCTCAGACAGCAATACATGCTTAAAAATAGATAATAGAAGGTTTGCAAAGGATGTGTGCTGCGAGATGCTCTGAGGAGACTGACGGACCTCTCCCGACTCCAGCACACAGCCCAGGCAGCTCCAGCCCAGATCCCTGCCGGCACTCTCCCAGCTGCTCCTCTTAGTGCTGATTGTCCTAATGAGGACCAGGTGAGCACAGCCCTCCCCCCGTCGTGCACAGCTGGGAGCTGCTGCTGTGTGGGGCGGTGCCTGGGGCCCAGACTCTGCTTTGGGGGGGACGGCTTCTGGTTTATGAGAAGTGTTTGACTCTGAAGCTGCTGGTGTTGATGTGGGGCTCTGACTGTGATCCTGCGGTCCAAACTGCAGGTGTGTGGCACATAGTGCAGCCGTATTTCTCTTGTACCTGCTTTACTTTGAAGCCCCTTGGTATAAGTGTGCTACGGGCACTGAGCTCACCGAGCAGCATGGGCAACATCCCTGTTCTAGAGCATGGCTGGCAGCTCCCAGCACACCGCTGGCTGTTGGCCGGGCAGCTTCCATGCACCTCAGCTGTAGAGAAGCATCATGGCTTTGCCTCCTTCCCCAAGGTGTGTGCTGAACCACACTGCTCCCCTTTGTGCACAGTGGTTGGTCACAGATGAGTGGTGTCAGCAAGCAGATTCCCCCTGTGCTGTGAAGGAGACATCACTCATTTGTCCTACATTGCTGGCCCTTTGCTATGGGAGACTCACTGAATGGCAGTGGCCTTATGAGATGTGGTTTTGCTCCTTCTAAGCCTCCTGACAGCCATCCTGTGGCACCTGATGCTGGAGCTGTGGTGGCCACAAATGCCATGTGCAGGGCCACTCTGCTGTCACTGCTCTGACACAAATGTCCCCGCCACGCTGTGCAGTGTGGGCTCAGAGAGCCCAGAGCTCATTCCTGCTGAAGGGAACCTAGATCTTCTTTCTGCCCCACAGCTATGTGTGCCACATGGCACAGTGTGGCCCCATGCAGGCAGTGCTGGTGGTGCTGCAGATAACCATGGTTTGGGTCACATGCAGAGAAATGCTCTTGTGCACTGACAAAAGCCTCACTAGTGCAGAGGCCCCTTCTGGAACAGCATGGCCCTCAAAACTGTGAATTAATTCAAAGCAAAGCAATGCAGGTTTTGTCACAGCCCGGGGACAGCCCAGGACACTCCACAGCACCAGTAGCAGCAGGAAATGCTGTGGTTTTATTCCTGCTCTGAGTTGGTGACCCTGCCTTTGTGCTGCCAGGCACCCACAGCGTGCTGCAGGAAGCCAGCACTGGCAGAGATTGAAACATCCACAGCAGAAATAATCAACCCCTTTGCTAGTAGGAGGAGACTGCTGATGCAGTTCATCTGACAGAGTTAAAAAGAAACGTCAAATTCCCTTCAGACATCCTGTGTGTGAGCCCTGCAGGTGCTGGGATCAGGGGGTGCTGGGGCAGCAGAAGCCCATTGAGATGTCCTGGGCTGTGCCAGGAAGGGGCACAGCGGGGCTGGGTGCGCACACAGTAGGTACTTCCCTACCACCAACACCTCTTGTTTTTTATTTTACTAATTCCATCACCAGAGTGCTTACCTCCATGGAGCTGCTCAGGGTGGCAGCACAAGGCAGGGACCATCCCCATTTCAATCCTACCCCATCCTCACTGCTGCTCCATGAAGGACACAGCTCTGCCAGGCGCAGGATGGGCTTCACCGCTCCCTGGCACACCCAGGACAGGCACTGTTCTCAGGGGAGGAAGCTCTGCAGTTGTGCAAATACCCGAACAAAGGCCTGGGAGACTCCTGTACCAACCCCTGTGAGCGGCAGCCACCGGGCAGACAGCAGCACGGCACAGCTCTGCCTGCACTCCCTCCCAGCTGCAGCTCCCCTCCACCCCAGATGTGCTGGGACACGTCGGGCACAGGGAGAAGC